AAAGCTATAAAAATGGTCTATCTCACATGTACCTACAGCACATGTTATGAAGTAATGATTGTTGAAACTTCTCTTGGGATTCAAATGGAATGGAAATCGTATTGTAAAGTAGTAAACCAATAAGAGTTTATTACAAATTAATAGGTAATAAGTTAATTAAGTTAAGTGTAAGCTGTCACTGCTGACAAATCTACCGAGTTAAATAGCCAACTATTGACATTAGGATATATGATTTAGAAGCTAATTATTTTAATCTTCATAGTATTGCAACATTTATGTTTTTCATTACAACGTTGTTGTTTTAATACATTTCTAGCAACTTATCCGAAAAGCCAAATAACAACTCTCTAAGAACTTTTATTATCAATGATTTCATGATTTCCCAGTTTTCTGAAGACGTACTGGTTCGCTGAAGATTCTGAAGGCTTCGTGTGTAATCAATTCTCAAAGACATTACTGACCCAACGTTGGAGTATCCTATCATTTTGATCTGACTACCCTTGATATGGCACAATTCAACCCAATGTTATTAACAAGTTAGGATAAATTCTGGATATGACTGTACGTTTGGTGTTTATCAAATGGACCGTTCAGCCCTTTTAAGATCATCGATTTCATCTGATTACAAAGCAAAAATATTTTGATAAGGAACGAGGTCAGTGTTATTCAACACATTGACTTATGCGTCTGTGAACATTTTTTTCTATTGCATTACACATTTGTTTAATACAAAAACCCGGTGATTTACACAATAAATGGAACAAAATGTTGAAGATAAGTAAAATTATTTATCACTAAGTAGTGGAGGCTATGATTTCAATGAAACTTTTTTCAGTGATAGTAGGTCGAAAAACATTAGATACGTGTCCTATGGTTTTGTCCAATGGGCACAAAAACCAAGGAAAAAATGTTTAGTGCTCTAATTGGCCATATTAATCAATTAATTATTCTTTTTATGTAAGGTCTTGGATGAGATGAAGAAGTCAGTGCCACGAGCGGGATTCGAAAAGTCACGATAGCTCAAGTATTTAGACTAGCGGCGTATTGTGACAAAGGTCGTGGGTTCGAATTCCGCTCGTGACACTAACTTTTTCATCTCAACCAAGACCTTATATAAAAAGAAAAAATAATTAAAATATTTTAGGTCTAAAAGACCAAAAATTACGTTCACGAAGGTGCCACTGCTCACAGCTCCCTCGATCAACTCGAATGAAATGTTAAGAGATGTTAGTCGTCCCCTAAAATTTCATTCAATTTCAAGAGTGCTTTGAGCAGTGGCAGCTTTGTTAAGGAAATTTTTGGTCATTTTTTCACATAAATTTTTTCTTGCTTCCTGGTTGGGCAGAACCTTCGGACACGTGTCTAATATTTTCAACCTAGTATCAATTAAAAAAGTTCCTTTGAAATCAGTGGCCTCCCCTTGTAAGTATTGGAAAACAGGTCGATTTGTCAGCCTAGAAAAATATGTTCCGGGGTCTCACTTTGAGCAAAAAGACACATCATCATTATGATCCGACGATTCTGTAAAAACTGCACAAATCTTTGTATGCCAGTGATTTAATTACTTGAGGTAATAATCAAGATGCATATTTTTTTCCTACCCCTGGATTTTACAACTATAACAAAAATTGTACTGAACAAAGCATTCTGGCACTAGATTAATAAGAACTTCGGTGATATTGACCAACTCATGTACCGTAGCGGTGCCCTTTTAAGATATACTGTTTACAAAGTTTAGCTAAGAACGTTATAAATCAAGTTTTATAATCGTACTTTATTGAGCCAAATAAGCTTTGTTTTACTTCTACTACTATGTACAAATATAAAATTGCTAGAAATGTTGCCCTCCTGACGAGGTCATTAGTGTGTTAAACAAATATTACGAGCCCGTACGATCCGGGTATGGTCTGGTGGCAAAGTTTCCCGGATGGGTACAATTATTGTCATTAAGCATTGGACAAGTCGATTTATCCCAAAAAAGCCAAATCCCTCGGTCACACTTCGAGCTAAAAGACAAAGGAGGGAAAATTCGAAAGGTAGGTTGAGATGGGAGGTTGGTGTCCGATTGGATGAAGTCACGATAGCTCAAGTGGTAGAGCAGCGGCGTATTTAGCCGAAGATAGTGGGTTCGAATCCCGCTCGTGACAATGGCTTTTTTAATTCAACCAATACCTTACATAAAGATTAATTAACTAAAAGACAATGTTTAAATATCAAACCTTTCTATTATGATTCGATGATTCAGTCAATATAGTATAAGTCATTATGCCAGCGAATTATTCCTTGAGATAGTACCCATGCAGTATTCTACAACTATGGCAAATATTGTTCAGAATATAATACATTTATTCTAGTTGATATTGACCGACCTCCGTAGTTTAAATTGATGTATTGGATCTTCTTGAGATCATTTTAAATTGCAACATGACCTCAAGAAGATCCAACACATCAATATAATACATTTAGGCACTAGATTGGTATGAACTTGATGATGGTTTGATTAATCTTGCACTGATTTAGCGCTTTCCTTTTAACAAATACTTTCTATAAAGTTTAACTTAGAAACTTAAATTTTAAACTGCTAAACATCAAGTTCTATAATTAATTTTTGATTGTCTATACTTTATTGAGCCAAATAAGCTCTGCTTTACTTTTCCAACTATTATTATTGTTGTGCTATGTTAAATGTATGCTTCCTTGAATTGTCATCCTCCTGACGACGTCATTAGTGACATTAATTGTCTTGTACGAGAATAGTAAATAATAAGTATGCAGTCGATCAGAAGATATTTGATGCCTACAACCAATAAATACCCTCAAGCCATCATATTACATCAAATATAACGTGAAACTGGTAAAAATTATAGCTCACAGCCGGTCTAGTGGTAAAGTTTTCCGGATAATTATAATTTATCAATAATCATTTGTGTTTAAAAAGATAGATAATCGACTACTATTTTACTCACGATTAATCCCAGTACGTCTGGATAAAGAAACATAAAAATTCAACTTTGATTTGCCAAGCTTTCGAACTATTTTAAGGTCATCGTCGGGGAAAAACAATCTTAAAGATGTCTACACATTGAAATAATTAAGTTTTTAATATATGGTTTCAAATTTCTTTGAAGACGGACTCAGACCCAACATTTCCAAGATGAGCCAAGTAGTAAAAACAAACTTATGTCAATTTGATGACATCTTTAAGATTGTTTTGTCCTCATGATGATCTTAAAATATGGCGAAAGCTTGGCAGATAATTTAATGTTTTTTCATCCAGACCATACTGAGATCAAGATTATTCCGGATTAAGCATTACAAGTTGATTTGTTCCCCCCCGGAAAAAAACGCGGTCTCTCTTTATGCTAAACAGACAAAGCAGTTTAAAATGTCAATTTTGTTATGTTTAAATCAAACATTTCGATTGCACAATATGATCTTTATGGTCCGTTGATACTACACACAACGATGATACATCGTTGTAGTACAGAAGCAAGCACATATTTTGTTCATCTGCCATAAACAATTTTTGCATCTGTACTTTATTGAGCCAAATAATCTCAATTACTTTCTTTCAATATACTTACCAAATCTAACTAACTAAAACGCACCACGAAACCATGACGACCATTGTACTGAATGTATAGTGCATTTAGGCACTAGACCTTGGTGAAACTGGCAATAGAGTACCTATAAAATTTGACTTAGTTTAAATTTTAAACTGCCTAAAACCAAGTCGTATAATCAGTTTTTATTATTTGTACTTACTGAGCCAAATACTTAGTTTTACTTCGACCAACACGCACCACAAAACTATGAAAAATATTTTATTGAATCTACAATGCTTTTAGGCACTAGACCTTAGTGAAACTGGCAAACCTGTACCTATAAAATTTGACGTAGTTTAAATCTTAAACTGCTTAAAATCGTACAATCAGTTTTTATTATCTGTCATTTATTGAGCCAAATAAGCTCCGTTTTGCTTCAACTAAAACATACAACAAAACCATGGCAAATATTGTACTGAATCTATAGTGCTTTTAGGCACTAGACCTTGGTGAAACTGGCAATCCTGTACCTGTGAAGTTTGACTTCGTTTAAATCTTAAACTTCTTAAAATCGTATAATCAGTTTTTTTTACCTATACTTTATTGACTCAAAAAAGCTCAGTTTTACTACAACTAAAAACACACAAGAAAAACATGGCAAATATTGGACTGAATCTGTAGTGCTTTTAGGCATTAGACCTTGGTTAATCTAGCAATCCTGTACCTGTGAAGTTTGACTTATTTTAATTCTAAACCTGCTTAAAATGGTATAATCATATTCTATTAAGTACTTCCTGAGACTAAGAAGCTCAGTTTTACTTCAACTAAGACACCCCACAAAACTATGACAAATATTGTATTGAATCTACAATGCTTTTAGGCACTAGACCTTAGTGAAACTGGCAAACCTGTACCTATAAAATTTGACGTAGTTTAAATCTTAAACTGCTTAAAATCGGACAATCAGTTTTTATTATCTGTACTTTATTGAGCCAAATAAGCTCAGTTTTGCTTCAACTAAAACACACAACAAAACCATGGCAAATATTGTACTGAATCTATAGTGCTTTTAGGCATTAGACCTTGGTTAATCTAGCAATCCTGTACCTGTGAAGTTGGACTTAGTGTAAATCTTAAACTGCCTAAAATCAAGTCGTATAATCAGTTTATATTGGATGTACATTATTGGCACAAGGAAGTTTTAACAGTTCAACTGGTTCGACTGCTGTTTAGTAGTGCAAAATTGTCTGTGTGATTAAATGGATATTTGTCAATATTGATGAAGGGTCGACTAGGGGTGATAAGAATTCCTAATACTGTTTTTAAATGTTGGAGATTTTAAAAATCGCGTTATCAAAGACTGAGGAGCTACAGGTTTGACAGCTCTATAATTAATAGCATTAAGAGATCATCGGAACCGATTAACTCAGTTCATAATTGTATGGAATGACTCACCGAGGTGGAGTAGGGCTGGTTGCTGAGCCTGATGCCGTCCTGGCCGAGACGTTCTCTGATGAGGTGCTTCAGCTGGATCCTCGGTATCCGGACGAGTTCCGCTTTACCTTCTTCGTACTCGTCGAGGTACCTGGGCAGTTCCTGTACGGAGCCGTTGCTGGACGATGGGCTCCTCTTGTCGGAGTTCTTCCCGGACCTGGAGGACTTGGCGGAGGACGTCTCGCACTTGCACTCTTCCTGGATGGCCTGCGACTCCTCCAGGGTGAAGTAGACGGAGGCGGCGCCTTCCTCCCGGAGGGTCCTCACGGACTGGAGCAGCCGGCTCCGGTGGCCCGGGTTGAAGACTCCGATCGCGTCTAGGTCCGGATCGCCGACTTGCTTGCAGATCTCGAGGTCGTCGTAGCCGTTGTCGAGGAAGGACTCGGCGTACTGGCCCAGGTGGAGGGACCGCAGCCACTCGACAACGATGTTGGAACTCGACATTGCTCTCGTGTTACGACGAGAACACGTTCAGCCGACATAGTAAACACATTCTTAGAACACAACACAACCTCCTCCAACCGCGATCGCAGACATATTGACATACTTGACGTAGTACAGAGGACCCTCGGGATGGATGCAGCACCGTACGTCCCACTAGCGGCACCTACTGTTCTCATCGGAAAACAAGACGAAGATACCACACGCCATAGTTCAACCAAAATTGAATAAAGTACACCAACAAATCCTATTCATTCATTTACCTAAAATATCACAAAACAACGGAAAATATCCGCTTGGCCCTTTCCTCCAATTAGTTTTAAAATCGTACATAATACATTCTTCGTTTTGTCAAAAAAAATTTTGAATCTTTACAAAAAGTTAAAAAATGATCTCACCTACCCAACAACATGGCTTCAGTTACCAGGTGCAACAGTAACCAATTGCTAATATATTAAAAATATGTTTTTGATGCTACATCCGATAGTTGCCAGGTAAGTTCTGTAGACTTTTCCAAAGCCTTTGACAAAATTGATCCTAACATGCTTATTAAGAAGCTAGAATATCTGTAAATCTACTGCTTTGCTTGTACAGTTGTTTATCTGCCATATTTTGTAGATCCTGCAACAAATGCATGAATGCTGATCGACACAGGCAGTACACGTTCTTTTATAAAGAAATTTTTAGGTTTTGAATATTTAATAAACAAAAAAATGACCCAATTGAAGTCACCACTACACATGGTACTTCAAATGGGGACTACAGTACAAAATTCTCAATTCTCAACTGCAAAAGAAAACTCAATTTTTTCCTATTCAATTTTCACGATCAATTTGATTTGCTGTTGAGATTAGATAATATAAAATTATTAAATATTCAATTAGATTTTGTTAACGACAAATTATACTATAAAGGAATCTGCATTTCTATCTTATATCAAAATTTGAGTCATAAAGTAATCCCAACCGCAGGAACACTGGTGGGAATTCAAACAACCAATTATACTGTCGATGCACGAAGTGAAAAAAATCATAAAATTAAAAATATGGAAAATGGTGAAGGCATATTGGGATATCATAATATATCTGGGGTAGAAATCCCCCAATGTGTAATAAAAGTAGAAAACAATGAAGTGTTGTGTACGGTACTAAATCCAATGGAAATGGATATAGGCCTCGTAATAATAGATAAGCCATTTACGGTAAACAATTTAAAAAATTATAAGATTAAAAATACAAATGAAATGTCAAATAACAATTATAATTGTAATACACTTAGAACAAAAAATAATAGTCATTGACTTTTCAAAGTTCCGAATAGATCATTGAATAGAGAGGAAGTAGAAAAATTGAAGGGCTTGATAAAGGAATATGCAGACATTTTCTATGTAGAAGGAAGTGATCTCTCCTTTACAAATCAAATTAAGCATTCAATAAGAACCAAGGATGAAATTCCAATCTATTCGAAAAACTATCCCAATGTAAAATATTTACTGAAACCAACAGCGAACTCCAATAAACTAAATATTGAACATTTAGACAATAATTGCAAAAAATTTCAATCAATATCTGTATGCTCAACGCAATCGATTAAATATGAAGAGAACAACTGTGACAAAGAAATCGTATTAACAGGAGACACAACATCCTGCAAATACTCTAGCATCAAATTACACGACAACTATGTAACCTGGATAGCTGAACTAAATCAATATTTAGCCAGCTTTCTCAAAGAAGAAATCATCACATTAACGAATGAGGACACAAATCTAGAAGTCTACACAGAATATTCTTAATAAATACTACATCAAGTAATGTAACATTTTGAAATAAACAGCTTCTTTACTCTTCACATACTTCTGGGAATCCCAAGTTCCTCAACGAAGTTAAACTTAGTTTGAAAGAGGAACAACGGCCACGATTTACAGTCAGTGTAAAGCATATCAAATTGAACCGACTAGAAATTCAACATTTGTCTCCAGCTATTGCAAAACCGATCATCACTACATCGATAAGTACATGGACGATCTTCCTGTGTGGACTTACCCTACTAGTATTTGGGTATGGAATCACCCGGTGTATCTTCGCACGACAGCAAATTGTAGCAGCTGCCGCCTCCGAAAACCAACATTCTCCAAATGTTTCATCTAGGGGTGGAGGAGTTACGTCTCCGTTTTAATAGCGAGCCTTCTTTTAAACAATACTTATCTCAGTGCTTAGGAATGTGTGGATTCAACAATTGCCCCTTCTTTCAATTGTTCCCATTTTATAAGCTTCTTATTCCTAGTTAGTTACGGGACAGTTAACGGACAGTTAAGATCCGAATATTTAATTGTAATAGAATAATCTAGACCATGAATAGGAAAGTTATTCTCTGTAATCATTTGTGTTATTTAGCAATAAAGACTCTTTTTAAAAAGTCTTTCGTCTAAATCTCGCGTAGATGGATTAACTTTTTAAAAAGATTCTTATGACACATGTCGCAATCGTATAGGTGTGAACTTATTTTTTCGTTCCTTCAAGTTTTTTATAAGCCTGAGTATCTTACAAGACAATTATCACATATCGGTTACGACCTAAAGATGTATATCTTACAGCTCTGGTGTGAACCATAACTAAGAAAATGTTTTATTTTTTTGAACAGTGATTTAGATATATTGAAACAAGATGATTATATTGGCTGCTGTGGAAATAATATAATATTTATACTAACATGCTCACTAACCTGTCTGCGATCAGAGAAAGCTGAATTACTCTTTGTAAATCTCTCCTGGGAAAAGAAAAAAAATTAAGTTAAAATCAGAGATTGGAAGACAAGGTAGATGTTATATAAATAAAATTTACCCTCTGAAGGCAACAATCCTCGCCTTAAAACAGCTACGATGATCCAGCTAACTGCTGCATCACACTTGTTGCTGCAGCACACTGATCAATGCTTGTGGAACAACTTAACGCACTGTTCAACTTTGTGAGAATGTACGAAAAGATATTAAAATGGCTCAACACCACCTAAATCAAATTAAATTCAAAAGTATACGACAAAAAATTGTATTAAAATAAGTAACTTACGAAAAGAAGCAACAGATCTTGACCGGCGCGGTATAATACACTAACTAATATATCTAGGGGATAAAAAAGGCGGTCACCAAGGCCTTCTTCACCGCGACCTGTGTAGATCTGTTGTGCTCACTAATACATCTAACTTACAAAAAGAGAAAAATATGATTTATAATACTAAGCGTAATCACTACATAAATATTCCAGGAAAATCTATGTAATTTTTATTTTTAAACAATGGCAATGAATTGTTTGACAGCCAGTAAAATGTAGATTCTTTGTAGCAATGAAACAAATAGCAGTGATTCCGCCAAATCAATTGGCGCAAAGTTCCATTTTTCCGTTAAAATTCTACCCATATTCCCTTGCGCCCTAATCCCTAAACGAGCCGATAGGGACATCTTCCCTCGCAATTTGATCCTGTCGTGACGTGCTCTCACTCCGCCGAGACGAACGGTTTTTCTTCCGCGCATAAAATCCGATGTGCTTCCTTTAAAACAGTTATTTACTGTTTAATTTTCTTTTAATTTAAAATCACGGGAGTGGAAGGATAGAAAAAGGTTCGGACGGAACCTAGCAGGTATCGTGGTAATCTAAGCCGTCATATTATCCATGGCCTTGGTTATGTTGAAGGTTTAGGTGCGGCATAGTTTGGTTCCGAAAAGAAAATTGGCGAGGACACACCCCTCATGTATTGGGATTTTATAAATTCTAATGTATTTAATTATTTTTATTATTCACATCAATACACCAAAAGGATAGCACCAAACTTTATACTCTGAAGATGCCCCGAATAAAAGTCGAAACGCCGGTAAAAAAAAGAAAAAGGTGTTCTTTTAACCCACCTCATTCTTGACCGCTCCTCACGAATCCAACAAGTTATTGAGCGACCAGACCAGAGGGCGCCATATTTAATGGCTCTCCGGGCTTAGGTAAAAACGTTTAAAAATATAAATTTCATTTTAAACGGCTGTCCTTATCAATCGACCACCCAAGGAGGGGTACTATCGCCACTTCTCTGGCTGGTAGTCGATGATCTAATTAAAGAACAGAATTAGTTACGGTGCCATACCATAGGTTATGCAGATGACCTGGTAACAACCATAAAACGGAAATTTGATATCACTTGTCAGAACAACCCCCCCATCAAGTGCCCTGAATATTATAGCAAAATGGTGTGAGAAAAAGGGTTGAAATATAAACCGTGAAAAAAAATTCATACCCTTCACAAAAAGAAACAATATAAAGTCTCCGACTATAAAAGGCGAAACCTTAAGTTTCCCCAAAGAAACAAACTACCATGGTTTAACCTTCGACCAAAGGCTCAAATTGGGAAAACATATAGGCAACATCCTGCATAAAGCCAAGGCCTTGTTATAAGTCTTGGCCAAATATAAAAAACCTCAAAATGCGTACTGTTATACACCACAATGGTAAGACCCTTGGTCACATATGAAGCTCTACGCTCATGGCGGCCAAAGACACTAAATAAGATGACACAGACCAAATTACAAAGTCTATAAAGATTAGCGTGTCCTAACATTACAGGGGCATTGTGTACCTGCCCCACTACAGCAATGGAAACAACACTCGACCATTGTGAATGTAAAGCATTAACTTGTTTACAGTACAGCCACATCAGTAGGACATTTCTCACACCCAAGGAGATCCACAAAGAGGAGCCAAGGAAAGTGCTGTTTTATAAGGAATAGGGCACTTTCCAAGGTATTAGGCAATAGGGTTTCCATAATAGGCCTGTTTAGGCCGCAGTGGAGGAAAGAATTGTATTCTTCATCCCCCGCCATAAACCTTAAAAAAATCAATCAACAACTTAGAGGGCTTTCTTTTATTTTCACTTACTTTGAAAAACATTGATCCGTATACATGGAGAGGTTTTGAAATCAAACATTATTTAGATAGTGTCACCATTTACAATCCATTAATGGGTTTTGTTTCTCACAAGTATGTACTATTGAATTGTCTGATTCCGACATAAAACTTCGTACTTCCCTCCATATTTAAAAATGTTAGTTGTCTGAACTGCAATGGCTTCCATTTTCTTTTCAACCGATCTGCTTATTTAAGCCTGTCATTAGATCAGAAATACAATTTTCTACAACAAATCCTGGTCCAATTGTTTAAGGTAACATTATTAACAATTACGTGCTTTATTCGGAAAAGGTGGTTTCTTGCCAGCTCTCTGATGGTATTGAAGGATTTACCCGCAAGGACACAGGAAGCTATACTAAATAACTGGCCCTTATATCTCTTAAGTGAGAATTCTGCTGAAGCATTCTCATATTCGAGCCCAGGCCATTTCCTCATTGGCGCACCATATCTTAGATTTTAC